TGGAGGAAGACTAAGCATAATATAAATTCATGGTATTCGCTGGAGCTAGAGAGCACAATTATATACAACGCCTTTTTCTTACCAAATAACTTGGTTTATTGCCGACTAGAAAGAAGAAATATGATCAATCATAGTTGTCTTCATCGTCATCGGCCTCTTGACATTCGGCGCCATTGTTTTCGCCAGGATTTGAGGGATCAATTGTGGCTACCAAACGAGCAGAGCCAGTAACTTTAGGCAGGAAGTCGTCTAATCTTTTAGAGGCATTAAAGTATGGGCAACTATCTTGACCATTTTTAGCAGATTCGACTTTGTCGGGAGAAGCATTTATGGACGCGGAGAAACGTGGAGAGGGAGGAAATGGAGTAATTGGCACGGGAGGGAGCCGCGAAGAAGGTGGCTGGTGATGAACACTGGTGACACGAGAATGAACTTCGTTACCATTTCTAGTATGATCAAGAGGGCTCGCAGATAAAGGGCATGCCAGTTCGTGAAATGTAGACTGTGACGCGTGGTATAAGGCTTGTCTGTCAATGGTTTCGCCAATAAACTGGGCCCTGGCCTGTTTTTAAAAAGTGTAAAGCTTAATAGTAGTATAAGGAAGATTTAAAAATGTATTAAGCAAAGCATGACGAATATTCAGGAAGAAGTGATGGTAAATAGTACTTGTTTTACCAACCTGTTCGAATATTTCTTGTTGCTCCTTTGTAAGGCGTTCTAATTCTGCACTATCTTGGTGCTTGAATTTATAGCTAGCGCTGAGCATCCTTCTGTCTTTAAGCTCCGTTTTCGCCTCCTCGCTGGCAGCTCGAGCATCTTCCTTATAGGCAGAAAGCCCCATTGCATCAAGAGCATCAAGAATATGCTCCGGATTAATCGTCTTTTTGTTTAATTTAGAACAGGCAAAGTTAGCTTGAGAAGCGAGAGTATGAATAAATTTGTGACAAAAGGAGAGGAGAAGATCCCTTGTTTCGTTGGTCAGTCTTGCCTCAGGAAGAACATCCTTAACAAATTTATTTAAAGCAGCTCGAGGAATGGATACCTCGTCCTCCTCCTTAAGAGGAAGGTCATCGTCATCAATATCTGAAATGAATTTTAAGTTGAATGAAAAGAAGAGCACTCACATTCCATAGCTGTACCGCGGCAATTTGTTTAACACGTTATAATTGTAATTATAAATATTTTTTAATATTTTTGTTTGATTATTATTATTTTTTAATTTATTTTGTTGTTTAAACTAACAGTGTAAATACTACTAATACAAACAGTAACCACTTTGCTTGATTTTATCAACGATTTTTCGAATAAGCATTATTTATTAATAATGGATAACGAATTTGTCAAGGAAGAATCTATAAAAGATACTAGTGACAATGATAATAATTCTATTTGTATTAACTATCGTCCGATTCACCCTTTGCCAGATGACATTGTTACTATGACTCGTAATGAGACTGCTTGCAAATTTTGTGGAGTCAGTTATCTAGTTTTTACGCAATTTAAAATTTTGGAAGATCTAATTTCTAAATTAAAGCAAAAACTATATTTATCTGATGCGTCTGATTCTAGTGACCTATCGGAACAAAACACCTTATTTTACCTCAATGAAGCAGAAATAAAACTGAAAAATTATAATGAACTTCAGCATAATAGGTTAGACAAAATTGTTTACGATTAGCAACAAAGATCAGTTGATTTAGAAATAGAGAAATTAGAGTTGGTAAAAATGGCGAAAATCAATGAGCAAAGAGTGGTAGCCCTAAAAACCTCGGAAGAAGA